GCCGCAAAAGATGTTTTCTATAACAGTTGTTGATAAAATCTTTATTTCTTGTTTTTGCGATTTTTGAAATTGTTGATTAGCGGAAAGAGTTATGATTTTTTAATTAAATTATATAATTTTCTTAGTTTTTATATTTTTTTAATATTAGTTTATTAATTTTTTAGTTTTTAGACCTGAATATTGTTCTGGATACTTGGTTTTACTTTTTTTAGTTTGAAAAATTTTTAAAAATTTTTTAGCTTTAAAGTTTAAGTAATATTTTTATATATTAAATAAAATTCTCTTTTTTGTATATCAAATGAGTAAATCTTCTTTCTGCATATCAAATAAGTAACTTTTTTTTTATGTATTAAATGAGTGACTCTTCTTTCCATACATCAAATAAGTGACTCTTCTTTCTGTATGACAAATGACTAACTTTCTTTTTGCATATTAAATAAAGTCTCTTCTTTTCATATATCAAATGAGTGACTCTTCTTTCTGTGCATCAAATAAGTGACTCTTCTTTTTAAGCATCAAATGAGTAACTCTTCATTTGCATGTTAAATGAGAATGAGTGACTCTTTTTCTATATTTCAAATGAGTAACTCTTCTTTTTATTTGTCAAATAAGTAACTTTTCTTGTCGCGTATCAAATAAGTAACTCTTCTTTTCATATATCAAATAAGCAATTCTTCTTTCTGCAGGTCAAATGAGTAACTCTTTTTTCTGCAGTCAAATAAGTGATTCTTCTTTTTATGTGTCAAATGACTAACTCTTCTCTTCACATATTAAATGACTAACTCTTCTTTTCGCTTATCAAATGACTGACTCTTCTTTTACATATCAAATAAATGATTTTTCTTTCTATGCATCAAATAAGTAACTCTTCTTTTCACACATCAAATGAGTAACTTTTTTTTCTGCATGTCAAATGAGTGACTCTTTTTTCTGCATATCAAATGAGTGACTCTTTTTTCTGCATATCAAATAAGTGACTCTTCTTTTTGCATATCAAATAAGTGACCCTTCTTTCTGTGCATCAAATGAGTAACTCTTTGTTCTGCATATCAAATGAGTGACTCTTCTTTCTGCATGTCAAATAAGTGACTCTTCTTTTTGCATGTCAAATAAGTGACTCTTTTTTCTTCATGTCAATGAGTGATTTTTCTTTCTGCATATCAAATGAGTGACTCTTCTTTCCACATGTCAAATTATTGTTACTTCTTTTTGCATATCAAATAACTGTCACTTCTTTATACGAGTCAAATAACTGTCACTTCTTTCTTGCATGTCAAATGACTATCTTTCTTCTTTTCTCTTCTCTTTTCTTCTCTTCTTTTCTCTTCTTTTTTCTTCTATTTTCTTTTTTTCTCTTCTTTTCTCTTCTCTTCTCTTCTCTTCTCTCCTCTTTTCTTTTCTTCTTCTTTTCTCTTCTTTTCTTTTCTCTTCTCTTCTTTTCTCTTCTCTTCTCTTTTTCTCTTTTCTTTTCTCTTCTCTTCTCTTCTCTGTCTTTTCTTCTCTTTTTCTTTCTCTCTCTCTTTTTTTTTCTCTCTCTGTCTCTCTCTCTCTCTTCTTTTTTCTCTCTCTTCTCTCTCTCTTCTTTCTCTTCTCTCTCTCTTTCTCCTTTCTTTCTTCTTTTTTTCTCTTTTCCTCTTCTTTCTCCTCTCTCTCTAAGATTAAAGTTTATTTTATATATATAATATAATATACCCTGCGAAGCAGGTATATTATGTAAATAGAAACCTGCTTCGCGGGCTCCTATGTAGCATTTGAATTAATATTATATAAACAAGAACCTGCTTCACAGGCACCGTGTAGCATTTATAAAAAGTCACACTCAAATTTTAACAGAGATCTCTTGAAGGCCCTGCTTACACAGAGACCTTCAAGGGATCTCTGTTAAAATTTGAGTGTGACTTTTTTTGACTGTAACAGAGAATCATACTTTAGTATTAAAGGGAAACAATGTTGTTGACTAGCTCTCAGACCCGAGCGCTGCTCTGGGGGCTTGGTATTAATTTTTTAATTTTAAGTTTTTTAAAATTTAAAAATTTATATATATTTTAAAAATATAGTTTATATATATTTT